GTAAAAGTTTGATTTCAAACGAAATTTGTAATTCTTCTGGAAAGACTTCTAGAAAATCTTAAACTATTGGCACATCTTTTGGTTGTAACTTACTAGAACGATCAACGTCCTCAAAAGTTTGTTCCCCATCGGGTCAGAAAATCCCCTTCCTGTTACGGCAATCGATAGTAGCTTGATATTTTCCTAAGAAATCCATTCCTAGGATGACGTCGTAGTCAATTATCTTTAATATGACTAGATACATGTATAGCTTCCTATTAGCTACGACTATCAGTACGTGCTCTAGTCTATATTCAGACAATAGAATTTCCCTAGAAGGCAAGGTAGTCCTAAATGTTTGACCAATTCTATTCTTAGCATAACTTAATTTCTCAGCAAATCCATATGATGCAAATGAAAGTGATGCACTGGAATCAAATAATGTGTATGCTGAGTGCTAAGCAATAGTAAGCTGACTTGTCACTACTCTTGATGTGCCAGCTTCTGCATCATTTCTCGTGTATGCCAGCAACCTAGCATTGGTTTGTGACAGGGCTTCTATTCTATCTTGTTGTGGCTGCATTTCCTCAACTCTCATCTACATCACGTTTGCCTGGCTAGTAGGCTGTCTATTTGAATTCTGAGGTCAGTTTTAGGAAAAATGGCCCTCTTTGCCACATGTATAGCAACTGTTTGTTCCATAACGGCATACACCCGAATGTTTCCTTCCGTACTTAGGACGCTCAACTATATTTGGGTTACGATCTTGCCTCTGTTGCAAATTCTGGAAATTAATGTTTCGATTTCTATCAAAATTTCTTTTCCTCTTATTCGGGTTATGGTTATTCTGTGGACGACTCTGTGGGGGTCGATTTCCTTGTCCAATTCCGTTAGCTTGGTTGCTCTGACCAGTTTGATTATTCCTTTGATTTCCCTTTTGGGTTTGCTTTGCCTGGGCTTGATCCTTTTTATTGGCTTCCCAAAATTTGGCTCTTTCCTCCTTAGCTTGGGCCAGGTAATATTTTGCTCAGACTGCTCTACCTACACAATCTGCCACTATTGTGGACAGCTCGACACTAGCTCGTGCAGAAAACGGTGATGGTATGATACCATTCACTCACCGGGCTGCGCACCCCAGACTAAGACCACCCTAAGAAAGATATGATATAACTCATGTACTTCAGGTGCGGACAGAGGCGCTGGAGGTGTCAGGGTTACAGCTGCCCACTGCTGGAGATGATGTTGAAACTGTTCCCACCCCATCTGTCTAGAATTGACTTCCATGCTACTCCACCATGCTCTAGCTTGACGTAACTCTGATGAATCCCGTAGACCTCAAGAATCGCCCGAGTCTGTAGCAACTAATCCTGTGTCTTCCCAACATAAGTCTCACCATCGTATTCACCGGGATTAGAGTTCCGGAAGACTATGACCAACTGTGCCATGTGCAGGTCATATAGGACTCCGCCAGGTGGTGGTGGAGAGAAGGATGCCATACACGATACTAAAATCCTATATATATATATATATAGCTTTAAAAATTAAATTCCATCTTAGAAAGAAACTAATTTGCTTATATAAACTGTACTTACTTAGACTCGGGCGGAGCAGGCACGTGACGAAGTGGAGTAGGATGGCAGGATACCGGCTCTGATACCAACTGTGACGACCCTGCTGAGTTGGCTGTCACTAAAACTAACTTTTAGCCTATAACTTCTGAAGCTTTCTAAAAATCCGAGAGATTTTTTTTGTTACCTAGAATGCTGCAGCATTTTAAAAATGCTATAGGAATGCTATAGCATTTTTTTAAATGTTGTAGGAATAGTGTAGCATTCTTTTTAAAATGCTGTAGAAATGCTATAGCATTCTCTCTTTCCTTTTTTTTTTAAAGAACTTACTAATACGACATATGATACGAATTACTTTCTTGATCAAATATTCAAATCTTAACATATCTGTTAATCAAAGTATATAGATATATATATATATATATATACTTACTCCGTAAGTTTGCCTACTAATAACCATAATCTATAAAACCATTGAACATATAGTTTTAAGATCATAACTAGCAAAACTATTTATACGTAAAACTGATTGCGAAAATATTTACGAGCGGTATCCATTCCCCAATCTCCACATCGTTCATCCATTCCCGTCAGTCCACCCAGTATTATATGCAGGTTGCTTACCTACAGTATAAATATTCTATGATGAGCTTTCGCTCAGCAAGTAGGAACTATATCTCACAAAATAACTGTAAGTTCACATGAATAAATATGCATGAGCTGATTATGTATAATTATGATGTCTTATCATAGTCTTATTATCTTATCTTATCTTTCTTACTGATGGGCCCGAGTGCTCGTACCACTTGCGCGCAATCATCGGGACGTGAGGGTTTGCAAGGTCCCCCACGACACCGTGATTATAACTGAACTGAATGCCTCCCTCTCATAGGACTTAATTATTTTTTGTTTCTTCTCCCTTGCGAAGCCTGAGTTACCTCCCTCTCAGAGGCTGGGACGGCACTCAACTGAGGTTCTTCTTATAAGTTCCTCTTCACCTATTAAGGTGTATGCAAAATGACATAACATAGTATACTATAACATGGAATGTACTCAAACACATATAATTCATGTGCACTGCTTAAGTGTATGCAGCATGACATAACATAGCATACATAACATTAAATATACTCAAACACATATAATTCATGTGCACTGCTTAAGTGTATGCAGCATGACATAACATAGCATACATAACATTAAATATACTCAAACACATATAATTCATGTGCACTGCTTAAGTGTATGCAGCATGACATAGCATAGCATACATAACATTAAATGTACTCAAACACATATAATTCATGTGTACTGTTTATTTTAAAATCTATTTATACTGTAGGCAAGATTCTTACACACCGGATTTACAGTGCTGGAATTCACTTTTTGCCAAACAGGCTAGTCTCTTACTTCCTTACTTCTAAAAATGAACACCCATTAAGAGTGTGAAATTAACTGTTGTTTGCTATTCTATTTTAGCAACTTATGAAGGAAAATCTAACCCTTTCCTTAAGGCATGTATTCCTCTCATTTACTAAAGGATAATAAGGATCAATTTATTAAATCCTTAAAATCTTATTTTCCTTAATTGCCATTAACATCTACTTGCCTAGATTGAAAATCAATTACCCAATCTAGTAATTTATCCTCCATAATCTACCTCATTGGACTTGTTATGACATTAAGGCCCAATTCGGCCTTGAACTTATTCACGGCATTCTAACTCTTAGGCTGTTGAAATTTAAACTCAAACGGGGTCTCTCGAATGAATGCGGGCGTTGGACCCACATCCAATCTTTGAAATTCTAAGGACCTATCGTATTGGGCTCGTTGGCGCCCATCGGGATGATTTGCTCGATAAACCATTAAGTTCTTTAAAAGAAAGTATTTTTCTTGAAAACTTTCTTTATGAATACTTCCGTTAAAATGAAGTTTAACACCATAGTATTTTCCTAAAATCACATCTAGGGTTCTTTGATAACTTTTTGTTAAAAACCAACATTGTGTTAGTTTGGTTTTGTTAAAACTGTGCAGTTTTTGAAATCTACATTTTACTGCATCTTAGAGTCGGATTTCAAAATTTTATTCTTCGTGACAATTCTTCGTCTCGTCGAGATCTAAAATTTTTGTTTTTAGAGAAAGTTAAAATTCAGCCTCACATTGGCTGCTGTTTTTTTTTTTTTTTGAAACTGTGCTGGACAACCTGTCCGTTTTTGTAAAATGGCTTCAAACTTACTTTTAGAGTTAAAGTTGGGTTTTGTCATAGTCACAGAAAAATGTTCAAAACATCAAGAACTATAAGTTCTAGATTAGAAATACTGAAAAATATTGCTCTAGGGTCCTCATTTTCGCGTTCAAAGTAACCGAAAATTTTTTTCTCCAACCCAAAATAAGCAACTTAAACCAAACATAAGCATACCACATAATACTAATCAAACTAACCTCAAAACACACAAAACCAACATAAAACTCACACACCCTTATTACAACTGATCTCCTCAAGAACCATAAATTACATCCATAAATTCAAGCTTAGAGTTGGCTAGAAAAATAATGGAGAAGAGTTTAAGAAATTACCCTTGAAGAACTCTTTCTTGAAAACCTTTGAACTCCTCTTCTTCTCCTCCAACTCAAGCTAAGATTTATGGTGATATGTATGAAAACTTTTGAGTGTATGTGGACTGGAGGAAGGGTCGGTTTTGGTGAGGGAGGGTGGAGAAAATTTTGGGGGCTTGGAATTGGGGTGAAACCGGTTTTGGGATGGAGAGAAAGAGAAAAGAGAAAAATGAGGCCTAACTTATGATGGTTCCTTTTATAGACATGTTGGTAATTATTTTTTTTTTACACCAATCAACTCCATTAATTTAACTAAATTTTGGGTTCAAATCCCTTAAGCATGGCCGGTCTTGGTGGAGAAAAGAGAGAGTAAGTATGCCATGATTTCCCCTTCAACTACTACTATCACATCACACCTTATCATGAAATCCTCTAGCACACTCAACTAGCCAAGTTTTTGCTATGATTTTCCCTATGCATTGCCGGCTGAGTGGAGAAAGAGAGGGAAAAATAAAACCTACCCCCTTGTACTTTTGGCCACTCTCTTAAGTTTCCCCTTAAAACTGTTCAAAATTATACTGGCTGTAATTTTCTCATGTATATATACTGGATGCTAATTCGTACTGTGCATGAAGATTCTTGAAATTAAGATTCTCAAACTGTATCTGTACTGGAAATTCTTCCGTCTTAAAGTACGGTGAGAATTTAATCGATCAAATTTACTTGATCATAAAACATGAACTTAACATGAAATCTACTACATAATTTAGGAATACAAATGTTAATTCCGTAAATCCTTCAGTCATAAAATATAACATAATATATTTTTTTTCCAGGAAAAATCCTTGACTTAAATACATAAATTGCATTATTTAAATTCTGAGATTTTCTTGGTCATTACAAGCACGGGGCCACCACATCCACCCAGTTACAACTTGGTCGCTCTTCTAGAAATTTTATGGCGTTACTAATGTTGAACTTTACCTCTTCGTCGTTCACCCGAAGTGTCAAGTTACCATCATGGACATCAATCAAAGCCTTCCCGATAGCAAGAAAAGGTCGGCCCAAAATAATATGAATTTCTTGGTCCTCCTCCATGTCTAACACCACAAAGTCAACCGAAAAAATGAATTTATTAATTTTAACCAGGACATCCTCGATAATACCTTTAGGGTAGGTGAGAGAGCGGTCCGGCAATTGTAGTGAGATGGTGGTAGGTGTGATCTCTCCAAGGTTGAGTTTCCAGAAGATAGAGAGGGGCGTGAGATTGATGCTAGCCCCAAGATCACACAAGGCCTTCTCAATGTGAAGTTCTCCAATGATGCATGGGATGGTAAAACTACCAGGATCCTTCAATTTCTCCGGTAGTTGTCTTTTTATGGTAGCATTACATTCTTCCGTAAGCTTCACTATCTCATAGTCTTCGAGTTTGCGCTTCTTGGACATAACCTCCTTCATAAATTTGGCATAGTTTGGCATTTGCTCGAGAGCATCCATGAAGGGGATGTTGATGTGGATCCTCTTGAAGATATTGAGAAATTTCTCAAATTGCTTGTCAAGCACCTTCTTCTGGAACTATTGAGGGAATGGCAATGGGAGAGTGATACGAGGTGGATTATCTGGAAAAGTGATCGAACCCGGTCTAACCACCGGCGCTTCCTTCTTGGCCTTCAGGTTTTCCTCCATTGACTTATCCTTACCATTGTCGTTGCTCTTGGTAAGCTCTTCATCAACCATGGCTTTTTGAACTTTAGGGCCTTTAAGCTCTTTGCCATTCCTCAATGTGATGGCCTTGCACACCTTTGGGTTCTTCTCGATGTTGCTCGGGAAGGACCATGATGATTGCCCTTTTATAGTATTAGCCAATTAGCTAACTTGTGTTTCTAGTGCCTTCATAGTGCCCCTCAAATTGGTGCAGTGAGTTTCAATGTTGTTGAGACGTGTGTCATGTTGATCAACACGAGCCTTAGAGTCCACAATATACGTCTTCAAAAGATCTTCAAGTGATGAGGAGGGCTTTTCCATTGCCGGTTTACTTGACTCCAGGGTCAGTTATAAAGCATTCCGGTTGTTGGCCCAAGAGAAATTCTCATGGTTGCGGAGCCCGGGATGATAGTTTGCCGGTAAGTTGTTGTTGGGCCTAAAGTTGTAGTTACGGTTGACGAAGTGACATTTCTCATCATATGAATCACTTGAGTTCAAAGCTTGTGCCATATTTACCGCTTCCTGATTACCATTTGCATTGGCTGCGGTAAGACCTTGGATTTGATTAGTCAATAGCGCCATTTGAGCCATAAGAGACGTCGTTTGATCCATATCATAAATTCCTACTGCTCTCTTCACCGTGGACCGCTCGTGTTGCCATTAACAACTATGCATTGCCATGTCTTTAAAGAGATTGAGTGCATCTCCAGGTGTCTTTAACAAGATGGTTCCACCGGCCGCTGCATCAATATGGGCCTTAGTTTGCCTAGTAGGCCCATTGTAGAAAAGTTGCACTTGGAACCAATCCTCAATACTATTTTGAGGACACTTTCAGAGCATCTCCTTGAACCATTCCCACGCCTCATATAATTGTTCATACTCAAATTGCCGAAATTGAGTGATCTCAGCCCTCAGTTGAGACGTCTTGGAGGGCGGAAAGAATTTGATGAGGAACTTTTGGGCCATGTCCGCCCATGCGGCTACACTCCCTGATGGGAAAGATTGAAGCCATGCCTGAGCCCGGTCCCGTAACGAGAATGGGAAGAGTTTCAAATGGATGATCTCGGCGCTCACCCCATTAATCTTGACTGTGTCACAAATCTCCAGAAAAGTGGCCAAGTGCGGCAAGCCTCCTTATTGGTTCTGTTGGACCATATTGATGAGGGCCGGCTTAAGCTCGAAGTTGTTGGCATTGACTTGTTGACATTGGATGCCTGAATAGTTCTCGTTCACCACAGGCTTGAAATAATCTCGCAACCTCTGTTGCTAGTCTAATTGGTTTTGTTCCTCGGCCATGTTTTTAGCTTTCACTCGTTGTTCTCTCATCAAAGCCCAAATAGTTCGTTTGATTTCTGAATCCAATGGCAAGAGTTCTGAGCCACGTGCTTTTTGCAAGCACCTACGAACACAACCAAAGAAATAATTTTTTTTAAAAAATAAATAAATAAATACAAATAAAAAAAACTTAGATTAAAACAAGATATTTTTTCACTATAGTAATCTAAATCTTAGTTGTTCAATCCCCGGCAAGTGCGCCAAAAGCTTGTTGCAAAAATTTGACTATGCTTGCAAGTGCACAAGTCAAACAATTAATAAAGTGGTCTAAATACCGATATCATCCCACAAGGATTGACGTTAAGAATGTAAACTAACTATTGCGAATATCATATCTTAACTTTATCTAAGTGATTAAATTTGAATGTGATAAACTCAAAGAAAAACTAAAATAAAGGAAAGCTAAACTAAAAGAAAAGATAACAGTAATGAATAACAAGCACTAAAATTAAAATGGGAAATCAATATGATGGCAATGCTAGGGTCTCGACTTCACTCTATTGTGATTATATTTCTCCGTAGTAATGTGCCTAACCTAGCTCAACATTCTCAAGAACCTAGAGTGACGTGTATCCTTATACCCTCCCTCGAGTGCCGCATAAAAAATGTGTAGGTGATATCAAGCCTATATCTCTATACAACTATTCACCCCTACCTTCATTAAGTTCCACTCTAGAAACAATTCCTAGAATTCCACTTCTCAATTTCACAATCTAAAATTGTTTCGGCTACCTAGGCAATGTTTATCTCTCGACCTACCACCGACCTAAGTTATTCTACCCGTTTCTAGATTGTTTGAACGTTCCCCTCTCGAGTATTAATCCTCACAATCTAAATTTTCCCAATTCACAATCTCACAAAGCATAGCAATATGTAAATCATAAATTTGGCAGCAACAAATCAAAATAGAACATGAAAGAAACGAAGAACTTTAATTAAATGCGCATTAAAAAGTAGAAACAATTATCACAAATAGAGATTCATCTAAACCCTAACAATTAAAATTAGCCACATATCATGTGGTTCACAATCTCAAAATAATATTCAAAATCTAGAAAAAATACAAGAAGAAAAAGAAGAAGGGAACGAAGAACGCTTGAAATTCTTGAA